CAGGCCAGAAGTTGGGAATACTGCAGCGAGTAACTCACCTCCTGACTCCCCAAAACCTGTCCACCATCTACAAGGCACAAGTCAGGAGTGTGATGGAATACTCCCCACTTGCCTGGATGGGTGCAGCCCCAACAACACTTAAGAAGCTCAACACCATCCAGGACAAAGCAGCCGCTTGATTGGCACCACATCCACAAACATTCACTCCCTCCATCACTGATGCTCAGTAGCAGCAGTGTGTACGATCTACAAGATGCTCTGCAGAAATTCACCAAAGACCCTCAGACAGCACCTTCCAAACCCACGACCACTTCCTTCCAGAAGGACAAGGGCAGCAGATACATGGGAACACCATCACCTCCAAATTCCCCTCCAAGCCACTCACCATCCTGACTTGGAAATATATCGCCGTTCCTTCACTGTCACTGGATCAAAATCCTGGAATTCCCTCCCTCAGGACATTGTGGGTCAACCCACAGCAGGTGAACTGCAGCGGTTCAAGAAGGCAGCTCACCCCCACCTTCTCAAGGGGCAACTAGGGACGGGCAACAAATGCTGGGCCCATGTTATGAAGGAATTTTTTAAAAAACCTGCTTGAAGCAGATTAGACACCAGAATGTGAGGACAGTGTAAACTTTGACGGTAAGAAATACAAATATTGTCTTCACAGCCTATGGTAAGAACTGAATCCTTCTGTTAATGTGGGGAGTGTGTGCTGTATTCTCTCAGTATTGAGCTGAGTCCTTCCTGAGGAAAACAGCCCAGAAAAGACTCCGCTCCACCAGATGTGGGATATCACAACATTGTGCAACTCTGCTTAATTTCCACACTTTTGTATTCCAGACCCCTGGAGAGAAAAATCAAACCTGCAGGAGCTTTTCAGGTTATTTTTGGATCTTTCGATGTGTGTCCAATGACAGAGTGGAATTTCCTGAGTATGGAAGGATAGAGAGACCACTGGAGACCTGAATTTCAGTGAGGCAATGCTCTGGGCTCAGGGAAGTGCTGCCCAGTAAAACTGCTCTTTCATAGGAATACTAAAGCCCAGGCAACAAGAGCTGCAGGCACTGCAAAGGGTTAATGAGGGTCTGATGATTTTACAATATCCTGTTTCTCACAAAAAGCGTACTTCCATTAAAAATTCAAATGTGCAATGTCATTTCCCCTGATTGTTCCTCACCAGTAATAAATCCGTCAGTCTGTCAAAGTACATTCTGACACGGAGGGTACAGGGGGAGGGGACAGGGGGAGGGACAGGCAATCAATTGATTTAGAGACTGGATACGGATGACTAAGAGAAGCCCAGTAACAGGGAGTCACACTGAGGGCAGTAACAGGGAGTAACACTGAGGGCAGTAACAGGAAGTAACACTGAGGGCAGTAACAGGGAGTCACACTGAGGGCAGTAATAGGGAGTAACACTGAGGGCAGTAACAGGGAGTCACACTGAGGGCAGTAACAGAGAGTCACACTGAGCCCAGTAACAGGGAGTAACACTGAGGGCAGTAACAGGGAGTAACATTGAGGGCAGTAAAAGGAAGTAACACTGAGGGCAGTAACAGAGAGTCACACTGAGCCCAGTAACTGGGAGTAACACTGAGGGCAGTAACAGAGAGTCACACTGAGCCCAGTAACAGGGAGTCACACTGAGGGCAATAACAGGGAGTAACGTTGAGGGTAGTAGCAGGGAGTCACACTGAGGGCAGTAACAGGGAATAACACTGAGCCCAGTAACAGGGAGTCACACTGAGCCCAGTAACAGGGAGTCACACTGAGGGCAGTAGCAGGGAGTCACACTGAGGGCAGTAACAGGGAGTCACACTGAGCCCAGTAATAGGGAGTAACATTGAGGGCAGTAACAGAGAGTCACACTGAGCCCAGTAACAGGGAGTCACACTGAGGGCAGGAACAGGGAGTAACAATGAGCCCAGTAACAGGGAATTACACTGAGCCCAGTAATAATGAGTTAACAAGGGGGGAACAGGTTGCACCTAAACTGGAGGGACACCATTATCCTGGTAGGGAGGTTTGCTGATGTCACTTTGGGAGGGGCTGGTGCAGGAACCAGAGCAGTAGATCAGCATCTGGAGTGACTGAGGAGAAGGTAGAGGTGAAGTCGTGTAAGTGGGGAGGCATTGGTCTAGTGGCATTATCATTGGACTACTACTACTCCAGAAACTCAGATAACATTCTGGGGACCTGGGTTCAAATCCCACCACGGCAGATGGTGGAATTTGTATTCATTAAATATCTGGAATTAACAGTCTAATGATGACCATGAATCGATTGTTGGAAAAACCCATCTGGGTCACTAATGTCCTTTAGGGAAGGAAACTGCCATCCTCACCTGGTCTGGCCTACATTTGACCCCAGGCCCACAGCAATGTGGTTGACTCTGAACTGCCCTCTGGGCAATTAGGGATGGGCAATAAATGCTGCCTGGCCAGCCATGTCCTGATCCCGTGAATGAAGTTTTGAAAAATCGAACAGGCAGGGCCAGGTTCAGGAACACAGTGAGATTGGCGGTCTGTAGTGTGTTTATTTGAATGCAAGGAATATAACAGGTAAGGCAGATGAGCTTAGAGCCTGGAATAATAGTGGGACTACGATGCTGTAACCATTACAGAAGCTTGGTTGAGAGAAGGGCAGAATCAACAGCTCAACATTCCAGGGTTTAGATGTTTTGGGTGAGATAGAGAGGGATGTAAAAAGGAATGGGGGAAGTTACGTTACTGATTGAGGAGAATGTCCCAGCTGGGACAAAGAGAGGACACTGGAAGACCCATCCAGTAAGGCCATAGGGTTGGAGCTCAGGGATAAGGAAGGTACAGTCAGTATGATGGAATTATTCTATCAGCCTCCTAATAAGTGGCGGGGGATGGAGGAACTGATATGTAAGCAGATTATGGAAAGATGTAAAAACAACAGGGTCACTGTAGTGCCTGATTTTAACATCCCTAACAGTGACTGGGACTCCCTTAGTGCCACGGGCTTGGATGGGACAGAATTTGTTTATATCTAGAAGCATTTCTTGAAGCAATGTGTAGATAACTGAACTAGGGAAGGGGCTGTGCTAGACCTTGTACTGGGGAATGAGCCTGGCCAGGTGATTGAAGTTTCAGAGGGGGTACAATTTGGGAGCAGTGATCATAATTCCACTCATTTTAAGACAGCTACTGAAAAAGTAAGACTGGTCCTCGGGTGAAAGTGCTAAACTGGGGGAAGGCTAATTACAACAGGATTACACAGGAACTAGAGAAATTAGGTTGGAAGTGGCAGTTTGAGGGTTAATCCACATCTTTTAAACACCAGTTGATCAGAGTTCAGGACCATTCAGGATGAAAGGTAAGGATAGCATGATTCGGGAATCCTGGATAACAAGAGATATTGAAAGATCAGTCAAAAAGAAAAAGGAAGCAAATGTAACGTTTAGGAACCTGAAATCAGATGAAGTCCTTGAGGAGTATAAAGGAAGCAGAAAAAGAAATTAGGAGGGCAAGAAGAGGCCATGAAATGTCCTTGGCAAGTAAAATTAAGGAGAATCCTAAGGCATTTGATAGGTTTATGTGGAGCAAGAGGGTAATTAGGGAAAAGGTAGGTCCACTCAAGGACAAAGGAGGAAATTTATTTGTGGAGCCAGAGGTCCTTAATGAGTACTTTGCATTGCTATTCACCACGGGGAAATGCATGGACGATGTAAATTTAGACAGGGGTTAATTGATACTCTAGGGCAGGTCGACATTAAGAAGGAGGAGGCGTTGGGTGTCTTGAAAAACATTAAGATAGCTAAGTCCCCAAGGCCTGTTGGGATTTATCCCAGGAAACTGAAGGAGACGAGAAAGGAGATTGCTGAGGACTTGACAGAGATCTTTGTATTCTCTTTAACCAGAGGCAAGGTCCCAGAAGACTGAAAAATAGGCAAAGCCAAGCGCAACAGGGATAATCCAGGAAATTATAGGCCGGTGAACCTTACATCAGGGATAGAGAAACTATTGGAGACGATTCTGACAGACAAGAATTACATGCATTTGGAAAATAACACACTTATTAGGCTTAGTCAGCATGGTTTTGTGTGTGGGAGGTCTTCACTCACAAATTTTGATTGAGTCTTTTGAGGAAGTGACAAAGATATTTGATGAGACTAGGCCAGTGGATGTTGCCTGGATGAAGGCTTTGACAAGGTCTCTCATGGTAGGCTGGTGCAGATGATAAAG